ATGCTGGCATGTGTTTGTAATCCCGGAAGTTGAGAGGTAGAGGCAGGAAGATTGCCTTGAGTTTGCGGGGAGTGGGGGGGAGGCACTAGCCTGGGACTACATAGTGAATTTAAAGCCAACTTAGTCTACATAGTGAAATCCTGTGTCAAAAAAAAACAACAAAAAAAATTAATAACCTGAAAGTGTGTATGTGTCTGTATGTGTATCTGTCTGTGTGTGTGTATCTGTGTGTGGAGAGGGGGGAGGGAATGTGAATGAATGAGTGATTTTTTTAGTCAATTAACATCTACAATTCTCTGCCAGGAGAATTATTTATGGGTTTCCTCAGTGACACCAATAGAAATTGACTATGAGGAGATTGTGATTGGGTTCTGACTGACAGCCCGATGGTTGAGTAGATTCTAGGCCTTACTGTGGGCATTTTGTGGGATGGAAGTTCTTCCTTGGAATAAACAACGGAATTTTTCTTTTATGAGGCATGGTTTCTCTGGCTCTCCTGGAACTCGCTCTTTGATCAGACCGGCCTCAAACTCAGAGCTCTGCCTGCCTCTGCCTCTCAAGTGCTGAGATTAAAGGTGTGTACCACCAACAACAGGCTAATGGAATATTTTTGTTTATAGATAAAAGAGAAAGCCAAGCATGGCTGGTGTGATGGCCAGTGCCTATAATCCCAGCACTGGGTGGCATAGGCAGGAAGATGTGTTCAAGAACAGTCTTGGCTACACAGCCAGAGCAAGACCAGCCTACCAAAAATATATAATCAGAAATGAAATATTCATATGTAACATGGCATGGTTGAACTTTCAAAATATATCAAGAGATGAGATCCTCACAAGGTTAAAATTCATCCTTTCATTGATATGGTATGCTATGAATATGAGATGTTTAGAGCAGTTGATTGTAGCAATGATTACACAACTCTGTGACCATGTGGAAAGTCATGGAATTGTATGCGATAATGCCTGAGTTGTATCTAAATAAAACCATGACAATGGAATTTCTGCAACTGGTGCACAGTGCCAAAGCACAGGTCCCCAGTGTCACTATCTTTGGAAACCTTTAGCATGTCTATGACGTTACTTCTCAGTCGCCATATTTAGGAGGATGAATCTGAGTGACATGTGTGTTCTTAACTGAAGGTAGCTCACTTAAGGAACTGTCACTGGCTTGAGTGGGGAATGTCAATATCTTTACTGCTAGTCATCAAGTCAGACAGATGACAGTGTGACTTTGTGCTCTTCTTCCCATACCAATGATCTACTTCCCATGGGGTCAGGGGAATGGTGCAGAGATCATGGGCACTCACCTCTCTTGGAGAAAACCACAGATCTGTTCCCAGCACCTGGATCACGCTACTCACAACCAACTGGAAATCAAGCTCCAGCAGGCCCAATACTCTCTTTGGCCTCCAAAGGTGCTGAGATGCATGCATTTGGGAGCTCACACACGCATACATATACACACAAATTTGAAGAATAAATAAAACAAAACAAAAATAAAGTAAAATAAAAAAGAAATGATTTCTGGAGCTGAGGAGATGGTTCAGTGGTTAAGAGCACTGGCTGCTCTTCCAGAGGACCTGGGTTTGATTCCCAGCACCCACATGTTAGCTCACAACCATCTGTAACTCCAGCTCCAAAGGATTCAATGCCTTCTCCTGACCTTCATGGTCACCAGGTACACATGCAGGCAGAATACCCATGCACATAAAAAATAAATAAAATGATATCTTTTTAAAGATTAATTTTTTAAAAAAACAACTTTCATTGGTAACAAGATAATAATAATAATAATAATAATAATAATAATAATAATAATAATACAATACATCTATTTGCAAGCAAAGTGAGCGTGCAAATCCAGTTCATTCATTCAACAATACTGAGTGTTTTCAATATGCTGGTCACTCTGCCAGCCTCCAATAATGTAGTGGTAAGCCAGTTGCAAAGACAGGTGCTAATAACAAGCATTTGGGTTGGTGTGACCATGTCTCCCAACAGACAGAGATCACCTTGCTAGATGGATAGGCTGTTTTAACTATCAGAGGATTCTGGAAGTATTATACCTTGCTTATATAACCCTTGAGATCTTGTGATTTTTTAATGGAATAAATATTAGGGCTGGTTATTCCTACAAATCCTAGCACTTGGGAGATGGATGCAGGATAAGGGAGAGTTTAAGGCCAGTTTGAACTACACAACAAATTCAAGGTCAACCTGGGCTAGGAGATTCTGTCTTTAAAAAAATTACATAATACTAGAACACCCCTAACATATATATTTCCTATATGTAGGAAATATAACAGTCCCACTATCTATTTTGCCATCCATCCATTTTCAAGTCATGCTTCCCCACCCCCATCTCTCTTACAAGCCAATCACTTTCTCATGAATACAGCCTTGACCACCTCACTACAAGTCTCTCAGAAGGACCCAACTCTGAGGACCTCCCACGTTTTGCTTGAAGGAATTCAGATCTGAGTGACAACAACCAAGACCCCCCAGCTGCTCAGGAAACTGGAGGACAGATTAATGTGAGTCTTCATGCCAACTTGCTTCTGGCACATTCCCCAAGACTCAGACACGAAGCTGCATAGGCTGAATACCAGCCCCCTGCCAGGTGGACAGGAAGTGGGAATGATGCCTGAGGTCTATAAGCATTGGCATTTGGAGCATGCTCCAGGCAGCAATGCAACCCTGGTGCTAGTAAGACGGGGGATATGAGACCCCTTTGGCATGCTGGATGCAGGGCCCCATACTTCATACCATAGTGGACTTCAAGGGGCCTAATTCCTCTAACTCTGCCGAGGTCAGGGCTCAGATCTCAATGAAGCCATAACCATGTTGTAAGCTCCTCTCTGAACCATGGATTCATGTCTGGGTGGAGTTACTCAGGTTACTCATGTAAAGTCTAGCAGCGCATGAGGCAGGGCCAATGCCTGGTGGTTAGGAGGCCCCTGTTCCTAAGACTGAGATGCCCCACAAACATCTACTTAGCTTTATTATTGTCATCTCTTGGTAAGGGATTTTTTTTTGTTGCTGTTCTAAAAATATCTATTTACAATGTGATAGCAAAGTATTATATGATCATTATAAAATCTCTGACAATTTTAGGAAAGAAATACAAAATGAAAATAATCTATAATTTGACCCCTGAGAAATAACAATAGCTAATGCCTCCACTCTTAGCTCCTACTCCACATACACTGCATTATAGAGTCCCACTTTGGGGACAATTTGAAATTATTGGGATGATATTTGGAATTTAATGAAATTATTTGGACAATATTCATGTCATCATAAATCTCTTAAAGAACTACCCAAAATAACTAAGCAAGCTGACAGTGTTATTCAGTGGTAAAATGTGTACATGTTATACACAAGGCCTGGGTTCCATATGTATATATCACAGAAATAGCCAATCACAATAGCCCATCACGACTGCAATATTTAATCAATCCATATTGCTAGTTCTACCCAGTTTTCATTGCTGTAAAATGCCATATGAGCTTGGTATGATGATACACCCACTACTTGGGAAATGGAGGCAGGAAAATAAGGAGTTCTGGGCTAGCCTTAGATACAAATCAGCTTGAGCAAACTTGGGCTACAAGAGACTCCTTCTCAAAACAAAACAAAACAAAACAAAACAAAAAGCCAGTAAATGTGTCATAATGAGCATTTCTAAAAGTATCCCTTTGCACATGACCCTGATTCTTTCCCCAGAATCAATGTCTACAATGCAGCTACTGCTTAAAATGGAAAGAGTAGCTTGGACTGGAACTTGCATAGCCCAGGCTGGCCTCAAACTCAAAATTCTCCTTTCTTCTCCTCCTGCATGCTGGATGTATGACTTTGTGTCCCATATCCGGCCAGAAAAGTATAGTTTGTTTTTTTGTTTTATTTTTTTGTTTGTTTGTTTGTTTTTCGAGACAGGGTTTCTCTGTGTGGCTTTGGAGTCTATCCTGGCACTCACTCTGGAGACCAGGCTGGTCTCGAACTCACAGAGATCCACCTGCCTCTGCCTCCCGAGTGCTGGGATTAAAGGCGTGCGCCACTACCACCCGACCTGTTTGGTCTTTTTTAAGGGCTTCAAGACCACTGAAAACTTAACTGAAGAGGAAATACTTTTAAGATTTATATTTTTATCTATTTTAACATTTTTCTACTTATAGAAAGGGTACATTCTTGTCCAATTTTTAAAAATATGGACATATACATGGTTAAAGTTTCCATTAAGGCAGTTATGTCCATCATTAGAGATGAGGACTTAGTAGAAGAGTGTGTTCTGGGTACTGTTTTGGGATAGCCCGGAAGTGTCTCCCGAGACTCTCATGTGAACGCTTAGTCACTGTTGTAACCATATTGAGAAGGTCTGGATTCATCAGTGGACAGATTTGTTGATGAACCTGTGGTCCATGGGGACTGTGTTTTTGTCTGCCTAGTAGTCCCTGACATCTTTCTCTCTCTACTTTTTGGCCACCATGCTCCACCCTTACAATAGAGCAGGTGACCATGGACTAAAATTCGTGAAACAATGAGCCAAGTCGAACCCTTCCTCTTGTGAGAAAATGTCATCAGGCATTTTGTTATAGATGGAAGACTGAGTCTCCCCCACTTTCTCCTCATTCCTCACCAGCGGAGGCTGAGTCACTAGTGTCACTAGTGAACTCTTTCTTTGAAGTAGCCTATGGCCAGGTCCACACCATTCATACTCTCTGTATACCTTGGCTAGAACCACTAACCAGCCCAGTCAGCCCTCTGTGGAGTCTACTGCAGGGTTCTTCTCTCCAGTGAGAGGAAGAGCAAGAAGGGGATACAAACAGTAATTGTAGATATTGCTCCCTAATAATCAGAGGACCTGGCACCCTTACCCATGTCCCGAGGGAAATGAGGGAAAAATACCTGAGCTACAGCCAAGTGGGGAACCTTAGGCATTCTGGAGGCAGGTCATTGGCAAAGCGCTATCTGTACATATCTACACACATTCAGAGCGACAGCTACGGGCTTGTACACTGCAGCCGTGCATGAGCTGCCTGTGAGCAACTCTTTATCTCCCCATTTATTAACAAACTCATTTCTTGACAGGAAACTTGTCTGTAGATGCTTGTGAAATGCTTTCATATAGGGAAGATTAATTTGTCCCAGGAGGGAACTCCTACTCATGCCAACGAAGCCGTTCCAAAGAGAAATCCTGTGGAAAAAAGGAAAAACACTTCACCACAGGAAGGACATTATATTAGAGGGCTCCCCATGGCCGGGGCTTTTGGACCCTCCTACCTCTACAGTCCAGCATTCACCTCATACCAGTGACGGATGCCAAGTCTGTTCATACCCCTAGTGCAGTTAGCTCTACCTTCAGAGATGCAAATGCCTGCCACACTCCATGTGAATTGTAAGGGACTGCACTGTGGCTCAGGAGTAGAGCACTTGCCTGGTAGGGCATTTGTGAGAATGTGGGTTCCAACACCAGCTCTGCCAAAGGTAAAAATTAAATAAAAAGAAAAGAGTGTGTTGTTAATAGCAGCTCCATTGCGTTTGACAGCTGGAGTTCTGTCCCTGGTTCCCACAGTGAAAGAAGAAAATCAATTCCTGCAAATTGACCTCTACAGGTACCCTGTGCCACGTGTGTGCCCAAACACACACCATATTCACAAACAATAGTAAGAAACACTTTTTAAAGATTAAACCATATGCTGAGTCACTTCAAGTCAGGAACCTATTGCATAAATTACCTCCTTGACCTTATGTAATGTGATGCCTCTTTGCTTTTACACTGTGTCTCTGGCTTATTTTCCCTCACTGGCTCCTCATTAACTGTAATATCAGGGTCCTTAGCATTTGCTTTAGTTAGGGTTTCTGTTGCTGTGAAGAGGACAACTCTTATAAAGGAAACTTTATAAGGCAACTCTTATAAAGGAAAACATTTAATTGAGATGGCAGCTTACAGTTTCAGAGGTTCAATCCATTATCATCATGGCAGGACAAGGTAGCCTGCAGGCAGACATGGTGTGAGAAGTAGCTGAGAGCCTTACATCTTGCAGGCAACAGGAAGTAGTCTGTCTTCTCTGGGCATGGCTTGAGCTTATATGAGACCTCAAAGCCCACCTCCACAATGACATACTTCCTCCAATAATTCCACACATATGCCAACCAGATCACACCTCCTTAATAGTGCCACTCACTTTAGGGACCATTTTCTTTCAAACCACCAGAGTGTTCTTCTGTGTTGCTGTCTGTGTTCTCAGTGGTAGACTATGTAATGGGAAACAGGACAGAAGCTCCAAAAACCAGTCCAAAAGAAAGCACAGGATAAAAGCAGGTTCTCCCATGAATGAATTTCTCCTCCAGCCTTCATAGGAAGGCATTGTTACTGTCCTTATTATACACAAGCAGTGGAGACACAGACATGGTAACTGACTTGCTTAAGGTTTCACACAGATGTTGGAACCAGACATCACCCACAAGCCCACAACCTAGAATGTCCTAATTACTAACCTACTTAATCTATGACAGCATTTTGTTTTAACTCAGAGTGATGAGATTCATAGCCTTGCTGGCAATCCCAGCACTGGGAAGGATGGCCACAAGGTCAAAGTCAGCCTGGTCTACATAGTGAGTCCCAGGCCAACCTGAACTACAGAGCGAGATACGATCTAGAAAAGAAAATTGGAAATCATAAATACATTCATCAGGTGTTACATATGTCACTTTATTCAGGGTTTTTTTTTCCTTAAATATTTGTGATGGAAGCTTTTCAATCACTTCTCAGCCTTTGGCTAAGATCAAATATAGATTACTGTGTTAGACTTTTCATCACAGTGACAAAAGGACCTGACAGGAATTACTTAAGGGGTAGGCCATACAATGGCTGCCCAGACTGTTGCTCCCCTGAAACGCATGTATTAAATTATTCTTTCAAAAAAGGGGGTGGGCAATAACGCCGTATATTTTGTTATAATGAGAGGAAAGCTACCTGTAATAGAGAATTGTGTATTCAGTAGGTCATTGAAGACAAAGTCAGATAGAAAATGTTTCTGAACATCCAAAGCCAAGGGAGAGATGGAGCAGCTGTTCTGAACAACCTGACAGATATGCTGGTGAACAACTCTACCCAAAATGAACCCTGAGTCCACACAGCCCCAGGTCTAACCACTGGGCACACAGCAAGGGAGGTAAAGAAACAGTGAGCTTTCTGTGGGTGGACACTCAGGAGTGATTCTGCCTTGGAAGCCCACAGGGCTGCTGTGTTCACGATGTCAACCAAGCCCAGTCCATCTATACTAAAGTTTCTAGAGTCTTGACTGCATATAAAGGGGTCCCCAGGGGCTCCTTCCCTGGTTGCTCACTGGAGTCTGGAGCAGCATTACACACCTATAGCCTCCATCACTCCTGAAGCAGGAAGAGTGCTAGCATCCAGGAGTTGGGGGAAGATTGGCCAACAAAGCTAAACTCCATCTCAAAAACAGAGAAAAGAAAGACTCCTGCTTACAGCCAACTGATTGGCCAAGAATTGCTGCTTCCTGTTCAAGACTCACGCTCCTGCCATTTCCATAGGATGCTAGACTGATGCCAAGGCAGCCAGTTCCCAGGGCAAATAATTCAAAAGGCAGCAAAATGAGACAATGCCTTCTATGACACTGCCCTGGAAACCACACAGCACCAGAAATACAGCATTCCTGTTGGTTGAGCAGATGAGCTAGATTCAGTGTGGGAAGGGACAGCACAGGGTGTGAACCCTCGGAGGTCATCTTGCAGGCTAAATACCACACCATGAGTAGATCTACAGGACAAGTTACTTGGCTTGTGTAATACATAAATTGCAAGGTAGAGTAAGGGGAATTGAGACATATTAACCAAATGCAGTGTGGGTGAAGGGAAGATAGCGCTGACTGCACATGGGATCATAGTAGATGACCGTGTGAACAATCTTTGGAGTCATAATGATGTCATTCTAAAAAGTCTTCACGCCTCTTCTTTAGTGTGTGCGAATTTACTCCCCAAAAGTAGAGTATAGATATAGGAAAGTAGTTTTGCAGTGGAGAGGCATGATGTCATGATCTGTTTTGTGTTGCTGTAACAAAATGTCATTTTATAAAGAAGAACATTTGTGTAGAGTGATGGCACATGCTTGCATTCCCAGAACGCTGAAGGTAGCGGCAACAGAACCAGGAGTTCAAGATCAACCTGGCTATTTAGCAGATCTGAAGCCAGCCTGAGCTATATGAGATCCTGTCTTGAAAACAAAAGGAAAGAAAGGCACAGGGTTAACTCAAGTCTACGGATATGGAAAGGCATAGCATTGGCATGGCTTCTGACAAGGCCTAGCACCATGGCAAGAGAGCACACAAGACAGAGAGAATAGAGAGCATTCACACAGTCACAGTTGAAGGGAGTGAGGAAAAACCAGGCTTGCTCTTCTATAATAATTTGTTCTCTTCTGCCTATTTACCTATTGACTTATTAATTGAGATGGAGTTTTGTTATGAAGTCTGGCTGATGTCAAGTTCATAATCCTCCTGCCTCAGCCTCCCTAGGTCTAAATTATAGGCATGCACCTTCACATCTGCCTAAAGATAAATTTCTTCTGGAACTCCAAGTCAAGAACCCGGCTGGATCCACTAGGGCAGGCCTCTAATTTCGGCTACCTAGAGGACAGGGCAGGAGGTCTCTCCAACACAGGAGTTTGAGGCAAGCCTGAGCAACACAATGAGATTCTGTATCAAATAAAACAGACAGACATAACCATGAATCTAAGAACAAATCAGTGTGGTTCATCTTTGAGGATCTGGTGACACCCAGAGCCGGGCACTCTACTTCAGAATGCTTGATATTGTTGTCCTCTTGTTCAGGATCACTTTGTAGGATTGTCCTGAAGTGAGTCAGGACAGCTGGGCATGACAGCACAGCATGGAATCCCAGCCACTAGGGGGGCTAAGGATTTCAAGTTTGAGGCTAGCCTGGACAATTTAGTGAGACTGTCTCAAATCCAAAACAGGACTAGGGTTGTAGCTCGGTGGCAGAGTGTTTGCCTGGTAGCCCACAGCACTGGGTTCCTTCCTCAGGGCTGTAGAAGCAGGTGTGAGCAGTGACTCCCTGGAGCTCTGATGGCACTCCCCTGACAACCTCATTGCCCAGGAGACAGCATGGTTTCATGACAGCACAGTATCTGTACTGTGAGGGATGAGGGAGAGCCTGACATTTATCGAGGCTCAGACTTCACTTGCCCAGTAAGTAGTAAAGCTGGATTTGACCCGGTTCTCATTTCAAAGTCCAAATCTTTCATTGGTTACAGATTAACCTAAGTTCATCACTAACGTAAATGGGGTAGTATTTTGGTTGATGGCAGAAGCTCCAAGCCTTCAGGCTTAAGGAGCCCCTGGAAGGTAGAATAGGCAAGGGAAATGGGGAGCTGGTAAGAACAGAGGAGGCTCAGAGCCCATCAGTTATTTCTCAGGCCCCACCTGCCACTAGCCAGTTGACTCTGCCCAGAGGGTTTCCTCTTAGAAAGGGGACAGGCCATCAGAAACCCCTGTAAGGCCACTCCCACAAAGCCCCAGGCCAGCTGCATGTTAAGATAAGCTGAGCTGAGGGAGAGAAGCCAGACACATGACGCCCTGACACTCCCTTAGTGACGTCCATCCAAAGCAGACACTGTCCCTCCTAATACTCAGGGCTCAGCCAAAAGGTCTCTGGTTTTATGACGAGCCCTATTGCATTCCTCAAGTACTGCCCTTCCAGAAACTTCTATAGTCAGAATTGCTCCCAGCCTCTGGCCAAGATGATAGATGAGTCTGTATTCAGCCCTGACAATGGTGTCTTAGCTATTATGGCAAAGGGAAAGGATGGAGCCAAAGCCATGGCAAGTTGTTGATATGTGAAGCAGCAATGTGAGGGTGACAGGGCTATTTTTGCCCATATCAGAGGGCTGTCAGCAGGCAGGAGGTGAAGGAGATGCTGCAGGAGGCCCTGACATCAGGCACAGTGATGCTGGCCCCACACCCTCACAGCTGTCTAGGCAGCCGTGCTGGAGTGCTGAGTATAGAAACGAGTCTGTCCATGGGATGGTCGAGAAAGTAGAAGAGGCAGCCCGGGACTCACTGCTGTCCTCATTGTTCCCAAAGACAGTGGATGGGAGGGACCATCACAGCTCTGGATCCAGAGACAGGAGAGGGGAATCACGGGGCCATCATC